AATTGCATTACTTACTCCAACTTGAATTTTGTTTTAAGTAAATTAACGCAGAAATCAGAGTTCAAATTACACACAATATTAAGTTGATGTAATTACCAACATTATTACGTCAACACAACTTATAAATTAATGTTTGCAACTTAAAATGTTTATCTAAATAAATTAACTCACATTTTTATCTTGCAACCATGCATTTAATTAAGTGGAGGTGAAATGTCGCCTGAATTCGTTTTTAGAGTGTAGTTACTATGACATTTACTCACAGTTTTTTCCCATATCAATAATGTAGGATTATAATTGCTCCCCTTTGAAGTGACTGTTTAAATAATCCAGGGAGGATTGCTCTTGGCATCCCATTTTCGGCTCAGCGAGGAAAATGAGCCGCTGCAACAACAAAAAAATCCTGAATCTGGAGGTTGAGGCTGAGAAACGGTTTTGGTAGTTAGCTTTAATCTGCCGGCCCGGAAATCTGCTCTGCTGTGTTTGGTGCTTTGACTGTATTGACATCACAATGAGGGGCAGAATATGTGATGATTCTCAGTATAGTGGAATATGTTTTATTTCAACATTGATGTCAGTGTAGAAGGACATTCTGTGTGTTTTCATTCTGACCCAAAGAACTGACAAGAATACATACATACACAGACTGCCATATTTTTACTGCGATTAGACCACATTGTACTGTCGCTGCACTTTAAATGTCAACATTAGGTCACGTCATTTATGTTTGGCCAACCAGAAAAATATAAATAAAAAAAAATAAAAAAATGTGCAATAAAAGGAAGATCAAAGCGGTGGCTGGCGACTCAATAAATTATCTATGTGGTTATTTTTGTTGCACAGACATACTCCTAATGAGCCTGTGCAGAACAGCGGTATCAAATAATCATCTTCAGTGCGTGGTGTGAGTGAGTTTGCGCTGCCTCAGCCTTGAGTGCAGCAGCAGAGTATTTCATAGAATTAGACAGAAACTGAGGAACCGAGCTGTCAGATAGCGTTACAAGCATCAAATAGACAGCAGTATCAGAAACAGAGATGAAGCTGTTTTCTGCCCCAGTTCCACACTGCTTCTGCTTATAGACAAAGAATCCAACATTGGCTCAGCTCGCAGCCTCAGACCAGAGCTGGAATTTCAGAGAATAACGTGTTTCATGCTACACTGCACTCTCCTCATTTGACCATTATATAAATATGTAAATATTTCTGCAGCTCTGGAATTGGGGAGTTCTAATTGGGAACATCACAGAAATGTCAGAGTTCTTGATGCATTTTTAAAAGACCAAAACAAAGAACATTTTATTCAGAATCGCTCAGTGTTGTTTTGTTTGGCAGATTCATCCTGAATGGTCTTTGAGCTTTATTGTTTATTGAGCGACAAAAAATATTATACTTGACAAACAAAGGCATCAACATTTCAAGTCATGAAACAAAAACTTGGAAGCGTTAAGGGGGCTTTATGTAGAAACAGAAGCGAACAATAATGCACTAGAGAGGAAGGTTGTCATTTCTTGTGAATAATTTTAGATGCCCAGCCAGAAGCACTTTGATATTTGTGAATCATGCTGAGGCTGAGGGTCGGGCGCTGGTCAGGTATCTGGCGGAGGATGAAGACCCTGAGGGGACAGGGCATGTGTGAGTCATATGATCTGGGCTTTGGGCCTTCACACAGACAGCCACAGACATACCAAAGTGGATTGGAAACAAAGGCTTGTAGTATATTATTTCTGCTAAGGCATGAGCGTGAGGAATTCTCCATTAATCTTTTTCATCTTGTTTTTTGAAGCTGTTACACCAAACACGGGGTGAGATGTGTTCGTGGTGTTGTTTCTCAGAGTTCCCCCTCTGGAGCCTGTGCCTGTTCTCATGGTATCTGAGCTGCAGCGGAGGATTACGCCTGTGTCTGCTTGACTAACACAGCATGTGTATCTACAGAGAAGCATAATGTGCTGTACATTACAGCAGGCGAGCAAGAGAAAAAAAACAACAGGATATAAACGCTTGACTCCACCAAATGCCCTTGGCCATATCAGTCATATATTATTTTGATTAATAAAGTTATTGTAATTATCTGGGGGAAACTATATTTGTGAAGCAAATGTCATGGCAATCCTTGTTATAGTATATTTCACCCAAAGCCACAAATATGAACCAGCTAATGGTGCTGGAAGTAAAATTGATCAGATCCCAAGTTATCAGGGTTCAACCTCTGAGGACCATGAGTATGTAAAATGGCATGTCTTGACACAGGACTGTATCTCTACTTTGCATATGCAGCATCCTCCTCTCAGTGATTATGTAATAAACAGTCTTGTCTTGTGCAAACCTCACACGATGCAGAGGGCGAGAACTTTTTTTAGAATACACACTTGAGCAGATCTACACACACACACAGCTGCAATAACACACATACTTTACATATTGTGTAAGAAGACAACAAACAAACTGGGCTTTTGTGATGTTGGAAACATAAATGATTCTCTACCCACAAACATGAAGCCCAGAAAGTGTTCAACTTTAATCTTCTGCAGCCTCGTCATGACTAATGAAGTAGAATCCAATGGGAGCCCACTGGGGAAAAGGAGAGGCTGCAGCACATTTGCACGTTTGATTTCAGCTGGAAATCATATTAGCGTTGTGTGCTGGCGAAGCCTGAAGTTGAAATGAACCATGGAGACGATTTAAAGGAGAAAGGGAGTGTGAAAAAAGAAGGGCAGGGGTGGGGAATTGAGAGGGCGGAGGCTGAATGTGGCAGAAAGGGGAAGAGATGGAGGTCAAGTATAGTAATGTGCAGGAAGGGTTGACCGAGTGAGATTAGAATAAGGTTTAGAGGTGGTCGACAATCTGGAAGGAGAGATGAGCAGGAGGAGAAACGCGGGGATGAGGAGAGGTGGGGTACCGTACTTGGCATTGGTGCAAGATATAAATTGGTACGTTGTCCGAGGAGGAGGAGAGGTCAGCTGGAGTTCAGCAGAGACAGGCCTCCTGAAAATCCTTCTCTTCAGGCTGGCCTCTCATAAAGGACACATGGTGATGCTGCGGAGGCTACGAGATAATACTTAAAAACTGCACTTTTTCTCAATAAATGTTTCTACCTTCATGTTTGAGGGGTTTACAATCATGAAAGTTAAGAGGACTGACTAGATCACAAATCTTATAAATTCGTAATGCTGCTGCAGATCCATCCACCTTAATGAGCTCTTCGCTTTCATACCGAGTCAAGGAGTATTTCTGATAAGAAGCAAGAAATATTAAACCGAATCAAATGAAAGAAAAAATGACTTATACAGTCAAAACGTGACGTACATTATTATCTGTTAAGGCTGCACACTTTCTGCTATCTCTTCCTGTTATTGGCCTCACTGAATGATTAATAAACACATTGCCAGAGAGACCAAATACATGAAACTGTTTTTATCCATGAAACATTTTCTAAATGTATCATGACCACCCAGTCTATCACACCTGCTGAAAGTCTGGAGGCTCAGATAACTGGATTAACATTTATGCTGCAGCTGCTGATTTTGACTGACAGGGATTCTGCACCTTATTCTTGCACCTTAAGACCTTGAGGAAATCAAATCCATACTCCCCTCTAACAAATTAGGTCATTCAGGCATTCACACAGCTCCTTTTTCAGGGTTTAATCCGGCAGGTGGCCGTCTATTGTGGTTAAAAGAGAAGACCCATATTGTGTTTCCAGTGGGTTTGAGTGGACAGAAGGCAGCGGGCGGGAATCTTTCAACCTGAGAGTTCAAAGCGGAGTAGAGCCAACAAGCAGCTCACCTGTAACCCTCTCCCCTTTCCTGGGTGTTCAAAAGCAAATTAGCCTCATCAAAGAAAAATGGTGGATAATTTATTATTTATTTCAACATTAGCACTTGAACTTTACATTTTAAAGTATTCAGATCAACAGATGTTCAGTTGTTTCAGTACTTTTCAGTATTGATTTCAATTTAGTCAGAATTGGAGTCCTACAGTCCGCAAAGTTCACTGCATAAAAATATAATATCTACTATGTAATAATAGAAGACAGTGGGTCTGAACCCCAGAGGTCCCAAGATAAAACTGGGAATGGCAAAAGAATAAACTAGTACAAGAAAGAAAAATATGCTTTGATTTTATGTCAAATTAATTTGGTTCTTCTTTACGTCTCTCTTGAATGTTTCATGTGAAACCCCTTTGTATTGAAAAGCACTCCTTATGTGCACAAGAAAGTTGCATTGAGACAAGAGGTCACAAGTAGATATTGATTTGTTTTGTTTGGTCACATGGAAAACAATTATGGAAACCTCACTTTTTTTTAATATACTTTATTGATCAAGATTCACGCTAACCTTTAAGACATTTGTTTTCAGTCAATACCATTGAATGGTACAAATACAGTATTGATAAAATAAAAAGTTTAAATCTTACAAACTGATACAAAACTGGCAACAGGCATGTGAGGCATTTCAGTAACCACTGTGATTTTTATTTATTTTTTCATCAAAGCCTTCTTCAAACAGTCCTCTTAAAATCTAAGCTATACACGTACCTACAAATAAAAAAAATCTAGATTTACTGTAAAACAATACAATGTACTATCAAAAGGACCTATTCCTAAACGATAGGGCACATTAAAGGCTATTGGGCATATGCCTCAGCAGTTTACTGTATTTAAATCTAAACAAATGGTAAAACTGAAAACCAGCTTTGTTTGCAAACTTTGTTCTTCTGATTGAAATATATAAACAGTGTAAAAACAGTACTGGCAGTGATTTACTAAAAAATGTATACAAAGCTTCAAATAGTATGCTATGTTAAATAAATACATAAATCAGAATAAAAAATCACTAAATGGGCAAAAATGGCAGAAAGTATAAAACCATAATTGAAGAATAAAGTATTAAACATACAAATCCGCTGGAAAAATGTCTTAATTGATGGTCACAGCCCCCCCTTGCGGAGCCCCCTGCCCTTCCTTCCCCAGTCCTAAACCTCTCTGTTGTGGATCAGCTGCAGTCGCTTCTGGAGTCGTCCCGCCCCGCAGAGCAGCAGCCGGGCTCCGACGGTGACGGTACCAAACGCTCTCAGCCCGGACAGCAGAGGATCTACCGAGCTGCGGACCGGACGGGTTTGTAGGGAAAGGAGCACAGAAAGAACTACAGACATAGAGGAGTGGATTCATCTGGCTGCTGATTCAGAAAAGTTGTGCCCGCACAGAAAAGGCGACTGGATAAAACATTACTGTGGAGGAAATATTGCTGCGCTATGGAGAACATATTATTGTAAAGGTGAGTGGATCCCGCAGCGTGTAATAGTGATTTAGTGGGACAGTCTGTGTTGTTTTCTTTAACAGGAGGGTTAAGTTGAGGTGTTTGTGTTTTAAAGCTTAGTTGGTTTTTAAACATTTAGTTATGAATACGATTTAGTTTTTTTCCAACATGTTTTAATGGCGTTTGTGCAAGTTGATCCAAAAACAAGCGCTGTAATCATTTATGTCAAAATGGAGGTTGATGGTATACTAAGTTGTTGGGTTGGCAGTGCTGCGTTTGAGTGAACATGGCTTAGTCTGAACATGGTTAATTGGCTATCGATAGTTGGACTTGAGTCCAAAAGTGCTTGAATGTAATTTGTAGTAATTAATTAATTGCATTACATTTCCCTCCAGTTTCAGTGAATTCAGCTGTTATTCCTCATAGTGTGTGTGTGTGTGTGTGTGTGTGTGTGTGAGTGTGAGTGTGAGAGAGAGAGTATGGGCATGAGAGAGAATAAGCCTTGCACTGTTATCCTCATCCAGCTGTTTCAGTTTCTGCTGTTCCCTTGCAACTGACACACACACACACACACACACACACACACACACACACACACACACACACACACACACACACACGCACACACTGCTGCTCTGGCATATCACTCATCTTGGTTTGTCAGTTCTCCTAATCTGCAGCTGGTTGTGTTTGTATGTTGCAGACAGAAAGAAGGGAGAGAGGATCAAGTGGATGTAATCAAAAGCAAAGGTCACACTATACCTCTATATATATATATATATATATATATATTATTTATAGTACAGAGAGGGAGACCTTAGCACCTTTTGTTTTATGCTCTCAAGGCCCACTTTAATATATGGATTAGGTAGTAGTTGAACTGGAAACGCCCAGGGTCTTATTGGATCATAAATAATCCCACAGGAGCAGATACAAATGCTGAAGCATGCGTGAGTTGCTCTCCATCTTCTTCTCATCTGTGGTGAACCTCCTGCCCGCAGCTGATTGATGGCTTGGATGTCATGTTGTCCTGACGTCAAGACTTTAAACTGAATGAGAATATTTTAAGACAATCAACACAAATATGCAAGCATGCTGCAAACATCCATTCCTGTGGTTCTGCATGCTCTTTCCTCTCATGCACGGATGCTAACTTAGTGTTCTGGCAATACACCACCTCACTGGGAGACCTTATCATCCTGCACTGTCACCACGGCACAGGCAGGACACATGCAGAGAGGGAGGGGGGGAGAGGGGGATACGGTGGGAGGTAATAACCAAGCTGCCTGGAGAGGCGGTCGGGGAGAAGGTTGAGGAGGAGGGATCATCATATCACATGGCTCCTTCACAGGACTCGATGCAGCCGAGCGAGTCATGACCAAAGTTATGGTTCAATGTGCTTTTGATAGCTTGTAGTACTGAAACAGTTTATTATTTCATGTCTTTTCTGCTTCTGTGGAATAAACCGACCTCCCATCATCTCAAGTCATGTCTACTATTGAGTTGACAAATATGTGCGCGTTGAAACTAGAGCACAGCCAGAGGCACAATCATAGCTGATGCACATCTGCACAGGACTTGAAAACAGTGAAACATAACTGCTCAAAATGCAACATGCAGCTATTGCAGCTTAATTTGCTCATTAAATAATCTCATCTGGAAATAGCAAGTAAATGTGCACGCAGGGGGCACATCTGTGCACCCTGGAGCATTCTGAAATAACACGTAAAAGAAAATCCCACATTAAAGTACTGTATGGAGAGAGCAATCCGATCCACACCTGTGAGGCTCAATTAGCAAAATGCATCTCCAGCCATCTGGGACTGAAATGATGACTTCCATTTCATTCTGCTGAAGCAGTGATGATCCTGTAGAGTGGTGGATGTGATTAAAAGCATGCATGTAGCATGTCAGCATGTTTAATTCATACTCATCCATCACAACAGAGACTCGTCATACTGCTCTCATCAAACACCACTGTAGGTGCGTTTGAGGTGAACCAGGAAGTATATTTCGCTTCCTAACGTAATACTGAGCTTTTATCTGAAAAGTCTTGTCTTGTAGAAGCACCACAGGAGCCTAAGACTTCACTCAGGGAATCGATTACTCAAAAGAGCTCAACAGATGTTGTCTTTTTTCCTTTTCCCTCCACAAGCCATTTCATGTCAAAAGTTTCATGTCAGACAAACACGTCTCTTTGCTACAGTTCAGTATAGGCTGTTCAGTATTTTATTTATTTTTTAAAGATACATTTCTTTGGCGTAAAGTTGTTTTTGAGACCCAGTTTTGCTTGTGATTCCCCTCAGCTGTGATGTGTCTAACAGCAGGAGCATCAGTGAGATTTCCGTCAGAGTTTCTCACTTTCAGCCCTTTAAAACAGGAAAAGAGCACAGCAGGGGAGAGAATAGCTGTCAGTCAGCCAAACACACACACACACACACACACACACACACACACACACACACACACACACACACACACACACACACACACACACACACACACACACACACACACACACACAAAGACTCCCCTTGTACTGTATGTGAAAGTGTAATTAGTAGCTGCCCGGGTTTGCAGTGACCTTTCTTTTCGTACTTTAAAGGACAGTGTTGCACACATCACTAATAACTTTGCTTTTATGTTTTTTTGTTAATGCAATTTTTTTTCAAAGTCATTGACCGAGTTATTATACAACAGATTAATTATCTGCATCTTCTATAATATGAACAGCATTGTGAAGTTGTTACTTCTTACATTTTAAGAGAAACCAGCAGATTAAACTGTCATGTGTGATCGCACAATACGCACAACAAACTCCTAAAGTTGGCAGTTAAATTAGTGTTAATTCAAATGAAGCATACATATTTGATTTGTAGATCGTTTGTTACATTCCCTCGACTAGCATTTCAGAGATTTTATTGTGGTCAGATATAAACGAAGAAACATGGACATGTAGAGTGAAGGAGGAGAGCCTTCTTCTCATTTCTGCTATTAATTATTTTCAAGGATAAATCATCATTCAATGCTTTAAGAGTTTAGCTTTTAGAAGTTCTCCATTGTGTCAACGCTGTTCGAGCAAGCTATTACCACAAACATATTTACAATGTATTTAGGTTTGTTTGAGCTTTCTAGAGACGTTTTCATGTGTACATCCAACTAGCTTCAAAACAGCAGGAAGTCATAAAAACACCACGACTTTCCTTGTTCATGTAGTGGCATGCTTGCCTTCACATGCTCATTTTGCTTTCTGGTTTTATCCCCATTGGAGTTTGTTGAAACTGAATGGAACTTGACTACTGTTCAGTTGATGTTTTATCACCATACATCCTAGCTACTTAAAAACATCAAGATGAACAGATATCCAGAGATTTTGTGAGAGTTTATGGAGTGCTCCAACGCAATGCATCTTTTTTGTGGACTAGTTAGATACGTGTTAGCATGCTGATGTTAACGTTTGGCTCAAAACACTGCTGGGTCTCATAAAGCAACTAGCGTGGCTTCGCTAACTATTCAAGAGGAATATGGAGCTACTCCAAACACGTCTGCCCTGCCTACTCATCAGCCCCAAGGTGTGGCTGTGCAGATGCTGGTGGACCACTCCTATCCTCATCAAGCTGTCCCCAATCTCAGCCTGTCATTACACCCTTTTACAGACCTAAAAACACCCAAAAGCAGCATTTAGTTGCTTCATGACCTTGCACGTTGTATATCTATTAACATGCTTGTGCACAGACCTTTTTAACATGGAACTTAAGGAGAGCTTTTTTGCGATTCCCCCTAAATTGCATGTCAATTAAATTGTGTTGGAATCTGATAGCTGAGATGGCAGGCGGAGATGGGCTCTGAAAGCCTTTACAGTCCGTAAGAAGAGACAGAATCAATGCAGAGCGGAGTAATTCTGTGTATAATGGACATTAGTGGGCACAGCTCTGGCACACATCACATTAGAAGCTGGAGTACTGAAGTCTGCCAACTGCCCCAAACATCCATTAGTAGGCAAATCAAGCTGTGTTTGCTCAACACTTGTGTATTTGTTCCTTTTTTCCCCAAAGACTGTATAGAAACTTCTAGTTCACGCTAAAATAACAGTTTTAGGTTCTCATTACGATACTTAAAGTAAAAAAAGAAATGATTATGCAGTGTGCAAAGTATGAGTACCAGCACTGCACATAGAAACAGTTTTCATCCATTTGAGCACTGCCATGCCTTTCCCCCTCCTCTCTTTCTGAGGGGAAGGTAAAGTGGCCTCATATGTCACAAAGCGTCACTTCACTGCTGTCAGGAGGTTGATGTATGAGGGCCGAAATGGCCAGTGCTGAAACAGCAGACCACACACACTTACACACACAGATACACACTAACACAAGATTGATGGATGACACAAGTATTAGGTCCAGAATGGAGGCACTTTGCCCGGGAGCAGATGAACGGTCGGGAGACGACCTGCAGCTGCAACAATCTGTTTTTTTTATTGTTGCAATCTTATCTCTTTGAGGGACGTTTTTCTTCTTCCAGCACAAATCCGAGAAGAAATTATCTGTTAGAGTCGCAACTCACAATGTCCCGAGGGAGAAAGCCATTAATTAAGCTGTTTGTTGATTTGCTTCTATTGGAAACCTGATTTGTGCCAGCAAGGGAAGCAAAGCATGAATCATCGATTCCAGTTTAAAAGCTCATCGGGCCATGATGGTGAGCTGTATCTGTAATCTTCCATACATGATTTTTATCCTACACAACATTTTTGCATAAGCCCTGTCTAAAAACTACCTCAGAATAATTGAATCATTGAGCTTTTCACCCTGGCAGCTCTGAGCTAATAACATAAGCAAAGATCTGTTGACACCCAGTTGTTTGGACATGTGTCTGATTTATAGATTACATTTCCTCCACCCTCTTGGCCAGCCTCTTCTCCTGTGTGTGTGTGTTTTGCTCTGCGAAGTGAAGCCAGCTCCGAGGATGCGTCTGCCAGATGACCCCTTAGCAGAAAGCGTACCCCCCCCCCCTTCCTGCGTCAG